TGGACACCTGGAACACCAGAGGCGTTACAAGTGCGTTACCGGCCTTTTGGGGATTAGGAGTTTGAGGATTGTTGGGGATTCGGGGATTGGGGAAGGGGGGAGGGAGCTGGGCCTCCGGTAACCTCACTCACACGACGAAACACAACGCAAGCGTTGCTTCACGTCGGTTTTCTGCTCGGTCGTGGTATCACTCCGGTCGAGCTGGCCCATTCGTACCGAAGCATGGCTCTCCCACACTTATTAATACTCAAACTCCGTGTGAGACTTAGAGGCTAATGATGACGTAATAATATAAAATATGTACATATTATGTTATTATGTTTTCGGCTTACTCACGTAATTATTTGACGAGGAACTCGACTAGTTTCAAACCCTGCTAGAGGCTCATATTCATGAGCAGCATTTCGCGACCCTTCAAACTAGTCGCGAAGCTTGAAACTAGTCTATTTCCTCGTCAAATAATTACGTGAGTAAGCCGAGAACATAATAATTTATTTCGGGGGCGTCCATAAATTACGTCACATGTTTAAGGGGGGGAGGGGGAAGACTCAAATCTCATCTAATCTTACGTTGGAGAGACGTGGGGGGGGGGGTCTCGGCAAGTATCATGTAATTTTTTTTCTGATTGAAAAAGAAAATTGCACTATTTTAGTTAATTTAATCCAGATTGTACATGCTCATAGGGTTTTTTCTTTTGAAAATAACAATCCAAATCCAACGCGTTTACGAGAAAAACCAACATTTTAAAAAATCTCACGTGAGATGGGGGATGGGGTAGGGTGTTGAATAAAATGTCACGAAATCTCACCAGGGGGGGAGGGAGCGAGCGAAAATTAAAAAAAACATCTCACGTAATTTATGGACGCCCCCTTAGTATGTCTCACGAAAGTTATAATACAAATATTGTGTTTTATTCCAGGTGGACTACATCCACTGCCTAGTCCCGGACCTGAAGGAGATCACGGCGTGCTCCTTCTACTGGGGCAAGATGGACCGCTACGAGGCTGAGAGACTGCTCGATAACAAGCCTGAAGGTATACATAGCTCTTATACAGACTGCATCATTTTAAGCTTTAGCGCGGGCAGCGGACGGCGAGCACGGGTGACTCACTGCCCGACCAGAACCAGACCCGAGCGTACGGCGCCGAGCGTTCCGCGCGCTTCAAGGAGCCATCAGACCACCACGGATGGGGCCCAACAGGGCTAATGCTGATACGGAGCCGCGGAAGACTTAACGGGTTACCGGGGCTCCGGCTCAAAGTGTAGGAGTAGGAACGGGGTGGTTTTTAGTCAGTAAGAGTCTGACACTCCCTCCCGCCTCACCCAGGCGGGAGAAGTCATTCGATGATTTCCCCCCTCAAAAAAGCACTTCAAGCTTTACGAAATTGTCAAATTCTAGCAAACTTTATTTTAGACCTTATTATTTTGTACTAGCTACTTCCGCGCGGTTTCATACGCTCTGCTTAGCTCCTATTGGTCGTAGCGTGATGATTTATAGCCTATAGCCATCCTCGATAAATGCGCTATCCAACACAAGAAGAATTATTCAAATCAGACTTGTAATTACGAAGATTAGCGCGTTCAAACAAACAAACAAAAAAACAAACTCTTTCGCTTTATATAATAGTATAAGATTAAAGTCGATTGTATTGACAAGATTTAATAGATGTAACTGTATTATTATATAAAATTATGAGGGTTTAGTTCGGATTTTCAATAATCGAAACTTCTATAAAACGCGATCTCTTAGATTTTTTTTTATGGCATAAGCCGGTAATCGGGCAGACGGATCACCTGATGGTAAGCAATCGGCGTCGCCCATGGACACACGGAACACCAGAGGCATTACAAGTGCGTTACCGGCCTTTTGGGGATTAGGAGTTTGAGGATCGTTGGGGATTCAGGAATTGAGGAGATTGGGGAAGGGGAGGGTAATTGGGCCTCCGGTAACCTCACTCACACGACGAAACACAACACAAGCGTTGCTTCACGTCGGTTTTCTGCTCGGCCGTGGTATCACTCCGGTCGAGCCGGCCCATTCGTGCCGAAGCATGGCTCTCCCACACTTTAAGATTTGTTGTGTTTATGGATTACTCACCTAACTCTATGATGTATTCGTCGTACTTACGTCGTTCGTCGTACCATGCTGTTTAACTATGAGCCCCGAACTCGGTCTCAAATTAGTCGATTTAACTTGACAAACAGGTGTGAGAGGAAGGGGTCATCCATAAATTACGACACACGAGTTTCATGACTTTTTATAACTTGTTAAACTTAAAAATCTTGTAAATTGTAATTCTTATCAAAAACATTGTTTTATACCACGACGGGGGCAAGAGAAGCCCACGACACCTGATGGTAAGTGGTTACCGTGGCCTATGTACGCCTGCGACACTTGGGGCATTACATGCGTCTTGCCGACACTTAATAAACCTGTTTAACA